TAGATATGTATATCTTGAAAGTCGAGTTGTTCAAAACTTGAAAATAGCGTTGATAACTGGACCAATTGTTGGTTGAGATGTTGCAGTGGAAATATCTGCTGAAGCTTTTCGCCAGACACTAATAATAGCAGCATCGTCTGGAAAATGATCTATAGGAAATAGTACAGCTTATAAAATGAGTCAGGTCAACGTAGGCCGGTTGCAATAACTCAGCTAACAGATGTTTCCGCAAATGAAAACTATCTTCAAGATATTTATTTACAGAAACTACACATAAAACGAAAGCAGTTCGTACCCACGTCTATAATTAAACTCAACAATGTTGTGGAAGTTTCCCGTGCGTTTACCGAATTAGTTATAGAAATGACTCTGGTTGGAAATATTGAAACACGTTACTACCGCGATGCTCCCTTCTAATCCTCAACAGTAAAATGAACCTATACCTGTATTAAATATTTCTACTGTGTTTCAATGAATACCTTTAAGTGACAATACTGATATCCTCCGATAAAGTACTTTCATAGCTGAAATATATTTCAACTCAGTTCTCCTAGTTAACATAATACTCTCTTCCTTTTATTTCTGTGTGTCGAATTGGTAAAAGACTTTCCAAATTCCAACAAGTGCTAAAAAAAGGGTTAACCAACAGCGTGGTTATGACAGGAAATTAATTATTCTGTTTAGATATGATTCTTTAGTATTCTCAAGTTGGTAAGTTAATGTTACACATCATTTTAATAATGTCATAACCCTAATAAATTAATAAAATTGAGTTCTGATTCGCATCTGACTGGTAACCAACCAACTAACTATGCATATACGTACAGCCCATGTCACCAAGTCCGGTCATGCTCTATATGACGATCGTATATCTTGACAATAGCTCTGCAGTATAATTTGTTTTCTTTGCACAATACTCTATCGTAAGGCTGTCACGTCGAAAACACACCAATCTTCCCTGTGTGCTTTCATTAATCCATCTAGTGTACGAGGACGATGGATTCCAGAGCCCGTTTCAAAAGTCAATCGCATATAAGTCCTTAGGTGCTGCGCCCGCTTCATATAGAATAACATGAATAGCCGTTTCATTCTCAAGCTACTTAAGATATGCGACGTTTAATAAGGAGATATAACTGGAAGACTTATCCCATGCTCTGTTAGCCTCGTCTCCAGACGGAGACCCGTTTTGATTGTGTTGCGTAGCGTTGCCTGGGAGACGTCGACTGCTTTCGCCATTGAACTTCGTATTCGGGGATTCTCAACTGCCACAGTACGTTGCACTTTGTTTACTACGGCTTCGATAGTCTTGTTCTAAGTTTCATTCTGGATACTCCTAGTACCCCAACTTGATCTATGTTCCTTTGTTTTCCAATGCCAAAAAGTACAAGGAATATCCCCATCTTAGAAATTCTAAATCTTTGATATGAACATATTTTTATGGACTGAGTGTATGAACATTTTAAGTCGGAAAGGACTTGGAATCCTACTATCTGCGAAACTCTTAAGTAAGAATGTAATTCTGACACGTACCATTCTGCCGCGACTTTATATCGGCTGTAACTGCCACATGATTTATTCACTTGCCTATTAAAAACATTTTGATATAACTACTCAATCCTCTTTATATATGTATATATTATTATGATAATAAAAAGGTGTGTCTGTGACTGCCATAACTCCAAGAGGAAAAACCTAGAAACCTGAAATTTTGCACCCATACTGAGTGGACCCTGAGGGTGTGCACCTGGGCATTATTACTTATCTCATCCACGTGCGTGCGCGAATGCGCGTGCGTATCTTTCTAATGCTATCGAAAAACCACATAGAAATAAAATGGTTCCTTATATAATAACATCTAATATGTAGAAAAGCCAGTTCGTTTTGGTAACAATGTGTTCCAACAATGGCTTTTATGTCATGTTGCTTAGCAACAAAATTATAACTAATATTGTTGTTAGTCTATGTACTGAAAGTATAAAATAAAACGTGTCAGGAGTTTGTGATATCTAATATAAATCTGAAATATTTAACGATGAAAAAGTTCA